ATATTTAGGATTCTCAGATACTAGTGTGTTGGTTTACATATACTCTTACTGTGCATTTGGTACACACAATCACAGTTTTAGGAGAAAGGTAGAGCTGCTTTTCATGCTAGTCTGTTATAGTTATTTACCACTTAGAGAGTAGCTTGCGAGTCATATGAAGATTTGTTTATATTACTTTGATTTTAATGGATGAATGAGAATCATGAAACTATTTAGGTATATTTCCTTCTAGGAAACCGAAATATGCTTCCATATATATATATATATATATATATATATATATATATATATATATATATATATATATATATATATTACAGTGCTCAGCATAAATGAGTACACCTCAACAGATTTGACAGAAAACCTTTACTTTCCTTTCAGAATCAACATTTTTTTTTGGGACACTGTACTGCAAAATATTACCACAAATGCAGGCCATTGATTGCAAACTAGATTTGTTAATTTGCACACACAAAAAAGTATTTTCCTAACATTCATTCAAGACCATGTTGCAAAAATGAATACACCCCAATGAAAGTCTTAGGTGCAAAGCTAAATTTTAGACAACAAAATTCTAATTAACAAGAATTCAACTACAGGTGAGTCTAATTATTCATTAAACAGGTGTCCAGCAGACAGTTGATTATAAAAGGGCGTTACTGAAAGAAAACCCCTTCCCATTTCATGCTGTCAGCAATGGCACCACATGGAAGAGAAATGTCATAAGGCCTGAGAAAGAAAATAATTTCTTTACACTAAAAAGGTGAAGGCTACAAGAAGATCAGCAAAGCTTTACTAATCAGTCAGAATACTGTTACAAAAGCGATGCAAAAATTTAACAAAGATGTAACTGCAACTATCTCACAAAGACGTCCAAGTTGTCCATGGAGGTTAACACCTCGACAGGAGCATCTACTGCTGAGAAAAGTTGAAGAAAATCGCCATGCAAGTTAACTGCAGTTAGCTAAAGAAGTAGAAAACCAAACTGGGGTAATAGTTTCTCGTGACACAATATGGCGTACACTGCAGAGGAATGGCATGCGTTGGTGTCGTTCACGAAATAAGCCTTTCCGAAAGCTAATGCACAAAAAAGCCGCCTAGAGTTTGCCAGGGCCCATGCTGAAAAAGATGACTACTGGGACCCTGTATTCCTGAGTGATGAGACCAAAATAAATGTTCTTGGAACTGATGGCTTCAAAACTGTATGGTGTTGCAAAGGGGAGGAGTACAAAGGAAAATGCATGGTGCCTACAGTGAAACATGACGGTGGCAGTGTCGTCCTGTGGGGCTGCATGAGTGCTGCTGGTGTCGGAGAGCTACATTTTATTGATGGTAACATGAATTCACAGATGTACTGCTGTATATTGAAAGAGAAGAAGCTACATCACTCTATGCCCTTGTCGTCATGCACTTTTCCAACATGACAATGATCCAAAACACGCATCTAAGGCCACTGTTGCATTTCTGAAGAAGAGCAGGGTGAGAGTGATTAAGTGGCCAAGTATGTCTCCTGATCCGAACACCTATGGGGTATTCTGAAGAGACAAGTTGAGCATCACTCTCTATCCAACATCCGGGCTCTAAAAGAGGTCGTTCTTGAAGAATGGAAAAAGATAGATGTTGCATTATGTCACCAAACTTGTTCATTCCATGCCTAGAAGACTTGTTGCTATCCTTCCAAATCATGGAGGTCATACAAAATACTAAATGTAGTAGTTTTTTTTATGGGGGGTGTATTCATTTTTGCATCAACTAATTTGAGTAAAATTGAAGGTTTTGTAATCTAAGTTATATTATTAACCTTACTTTCATGTAATGATCTAAACAAATGTTCTATAAAACTCAGTTTTGTCAAATTTTGGAAATTGTTCTTGTTCTTTGAGATATTGATTAAAATCTTACTTTTCAAAAGGGGTGTACTCATTTATGCTGAGCACTGTACCTTAAGAAATGTATTATTATTATTAATAATAACAAATGTTATGTATTAAATGTTTATTCTGGTTATTAGCATTGTACAGTTCATTTATGGGAATTTGTTTTATTTTTAGGTTATGAATGACTTCATTGCTTCATCAATGCAACAAGGCCCTCCAGCTGGCATCACAACTATTTTAAGCTGCTGTCAAACTGTTCTTTCTACTCCTGCCCTTGCTTATGTCTACACAACAAAATATGAATTGATAGTAGACTTATTAACTAAGCTGTGCACATTGGCTTGTCATTACTTGAACATCCCATCTGAACAACTCCTCACAATCCAAGTACTTAAAACCCTACACTTGTCTTTCATCCAGTATCTACAAGTACAGAGACAGCAAAGTAATCCAAATAGAGTTTTTTACATATGTAATGGCACATCTTTTTCAGCCATGCTTGCTGTTAAGGAATACCTTGAATGCTCGTGTTTGGGGTAAGGATGAGGATAGTCAAGTACGCCACCAACTAATCAAGGACCTCCGCAGTAACATTGAGACTGTTCTTTACAGTGCCCTTTTTCAACCGGAACTTCTGGCTTCATACAAAGAAGAGCTTCTTTCTGAAGGAGACAGATCAGAAAAGAAAAAGATATCACCAAAAATACTTCTGACACCTGTATCCTCCATCTTGGCAAAACTGGAGGATAGCACGTTCTGTAACCCAGACGCCTATGCTTCACTGTTAGCCAATTCCGTTTCTCTTGTGTTTAAATTGTTTTTGGACTCATATTGCAAAGATGGAAAAGAAATATTCTGCTTTCACATGCTTGTCAAGCTGTTTGATTGCCTTAAATCATCTATTCCACTTAGGCCTGAAGACAAAGCAACATCTTCGTGCTACTCTACAGGTCTTCTTGCATTAGAGCAGCTACTTAGCCTAGCTCTCAGTCATGATATCTACAATGTTGCTGAAGACCACATAAGGTATAAGGATATTCAGTACCAGTTCTATCATAAGCTAGCAGAAATGCTAATATGCAGCCCCTGCACCTCTTCACAATCTTGGTTTCGATGCTTGAAAAATTTAATCTTATTAAATCACATGATTGTTGAACCAGATCTTGATGACCTATTATCATGTGCATGGATTGATGCAGACATTTCAGATCTGCGCATTAGGAAAGCACAGGAAGCTCTAATTTCAAGTCTTTTTCCAGACCTATACTAAACTTCGGCAGTTTCCAAAACTGTTTCAGGAAGTTGTGATATTGATATGCCGTCCTGCAGCTGATGAATTAAGACAGCCGATTCTTACTTCTAGTCTGAGTGAGAAACTCTCAGATTTTCTTATTCAGCTTCCACCTAATCAAATTTTAGATGTGTGGGCCACTGTTTTGAAAAAGTGTGGTTGTGACATCCTTCCAGATATTAAAGATGACCCAGATGTTTGTTTGAAATTGGTCTCTCTCAGCTCTCTTCTGCATTGCTTGTTGTTTAACATGAAGAGTTTAGACAATTATACTCCAACGCCTGTTCTAGTAAGGTTCAATGATCTCATGAAACAAATGATGGATAATCTGATATTGCCTACTCTAATTCTTGTTCAGGAGGGTAGTGTACAGACTGTATCTGTGGCCTGGCTTCCCAAAATCTGTGATGCTGTCCTTTTGCTTCTCTATACATGGATAGAAGTAAATACTGTGACTAAACTGAATTGCAATAAATATGTTTCACAGATAAGAGAACTGCCCCTCCTTTTGGAATCATCTATTGAAGGGTGGGATTTTTCATTGTTCTGTGGAGATAAAGATTGTTGGAACAAAATCTATAAACATTGCACTGAATCAACTCCAGTCAGCATGTTTTACCTGGAGCTGCTTTCTATTCAGAAAATGAAATATATTCTAATGCATTATGCATCCCCAACTGAATCCATGCAACTTACTCTTCAGAATGCTGCATTTCTAATTATCCATCCTGTTAGTGATCTTAAGGTGCTGAAACATCACAAACCTTGGACTGGAAGTGCTAACTTGGTTGATACAAGTTCCTTCCATTTAGCTCACTGGCACCTCATTGTATCAAATCTTCTAATTATCCTCCCATATATTCCACTGCCAAATATCTACAATATCGCAGATTTTCTGCTCGAAACAATGCTGTCTACACAGTACACAAAAGATCAAATTGATAAAGAAAGTTCAGTTTTGTTTGAGGATATTTCACTGGCTTTCTTGAAAAGTGATCATTTTTCCGAGCTGCCTGTATTGCAATGTGCATTTATAACCAGCATTATTAACAAGTGTGCCATGGCTCTAAAAGAGAAAAATGTTTTACATGTTGTTTGTGATCTTCTCTCTGCTAAAGACTTGCATTGGCATGAAGATTTTCTTTCAACCTACAGTAGAGGAAATAAAATATCTACCAGTGATGTGGCAGATGCATTCAATTCTAAAATCTCTGAATGTGTAACAAATTTAGAGACTGTTGTACAGTGTATATTATCATTGACTAATGAAACGAAATTTGTTGAATTATCTATTTCTGAAATAAACCATATAACCAATGTTATAGAAGTTATTTCAGCATTAAAACCTGACAGCTTGACACCCTCAGACCAGTGTCGCTGCTTTTTTTCTGCTGTTGTCTATAGCAAGGGCAACGTCCCTTAGGAGTCTCCAACTTGCAGGTGTTTGTTATAGACTTATGATATGTCTTTTAAATGGTAAACATGCCAAATCAATATTCAAACTGCTCTTTGCTAGTGACATTCTAAAAACTTGTATGATATGCTTTAAGCCAGCTGAATTGGAGTTTTATGATGACATGGAGAACAAACAGTACTGGCCTGAATTTGTTTCCACTATACAGTCTTTTTTTGACACATTGCTTGCTTTGGTCTTAGAGCGAAAACAGAGCTGTCTCTTGAACTTAGAGAAATTTGCAGAATTTGTTTTTGAATTTGTTCCAAATCCCAAAAGCAAAGACTGGAACTCTTGTATAGGTCAGTTACTTATTTCTGTTCTTAGTGGCTTATGCAGAGTTTTAACAACTTGCATCCAAGAACACATTGTGGATAAAAAAAAGACTGAAACCTTTTGTACTTTGCTGCAGCAGTCCATTAGTACTATGAATATAGTTGTTCAGCAATGCCTGAAGGTCAGTGCCCCAGCTCAGATTTTACCTTCATTTCTTGTATCCTGCACAACCACTGTCCTTGAAGCAGAGCTCAGTTGCCAAGATAAAATCAAAGCTCAGAACATTGACTTTTACAAATGCTTCTGCTTGCAAATTCTGAGAGAACTTCCATATGCCGAGAAACAAACTCTGTTTCTGAAAGCTGCCTTTCGCTATTTGGCATCTGCTATTACTGTAGAAGAAATCTATGCGGCCCAACAAATGCTAGTCACCTCTATATTTAATTCTGTGAAAAAGCTGCTATCTAGTGAGTATTTTTCTTTTTTTTTTTTTCTTTTTTAATTATGTATAAAATAAAATTTTCAATCTATTTTGTTTTCTACAGTTAAACTAAAGCATGTGTGTGCCTGCCTGCTTGTGTGCTTTTCTGCAAAGGTATCCATGATAGGCTGATTCTTATTGCTTCTCCAAGATGAAGCTAGTGCCTTGGGAATGTTCTCATCAATGCATACTTGACCAATGCATCTTTGTATGTTTTGTGCTATATAATCTAAAAATCAAACCTACATTTCCTGTCCATGGCTATCTTTAACCAAGGTGTGTGAGAACTCTTCAGACTGATTTAACAATAAGGACGGGGTAAGATAACTTCCAGTATCTGCACAGTCATTCTTCTTTAGAAAATATAAATCATCTGACATCATCTATATCAGGATTAGCAAAGCTTGTGGCAAAAGCATACTTCAAGGTGATTTTGCTCTGTGAGAAGTGACATGTTGGTATCTGTATTGCTTAAAGGAAAAAAATTCACCTTTGGGAGATGTTACAGGTTCCACTCGTTTTTAGCTGCTGCCTGTACATCCCGTACAGGCAAGCATATATACGGACAGGTCTGCAGGAGAACTGCACGGCACCAATGATCTGCTGATCACTGGTGCAATGCTTTACAGGCTCCTGCAAGAAAAATAATAAATTCACATTTTTTTACCCTTTAAATCCCAGCTAATGGATTTTATTTTTAATGTTGACTTAAAGGTGAAACACACTTTTAATCAGATAACCCACCACTATCTTTGTATTTGTTGACTGATTGCACCTGTAGACTGACAATGCAGATGGCACCTTCTCTGCTAGGACAGAAGAAAATGTTGCATTTTCCTTCTCTTTAGTCATTCAGGGCTTCATATATAGCAGGGATAGGTAACCTTAAAGAGTTGTAGATCTACCTGAACAATATTCAAGAAGTCCAATATCACCAGGCACAGTGTTGCCTCTCCACACACCTGATTTAAATGTTTAATTGCCATACTACCATGTCGCAATCGCTTGCATTGCACAGCAATCATGGATTAAAATCAGATGGTGAGAAGGCAACCTATTGCCTTTCCATCACCTGTCAAACACACTTGGATCACTTTTCAGAGGAATAGCAGTGTCTGCTGCAAGTGTGAATGAACCCTTAGTTGTATTTGGCAGTGGCACCCTTAGAGCTCATTCACGCATAAAGTTGGGGGGGGTAATACAACCATGCATTTTAATTGCAGTTTTACCGCCCCTAATCCCTACTCCCTTTTAGCTGCTGAGGCAGCAACCAAAGATGTACACATGCAGAAGCAGGAATTAAACCCCCTGTTGCTTTTGGTGGGTGCAACCACCTGCCAGTCGCGACCCATTCAAGTAAATGTTCAAGTAAATGGGGCCACTCTGCAAGCGCCCCACAATTCCATGCTTCCGCGGGGTCCAAGGGGTTAAACCAGGTGGTGAGAAAGCAACACAATGTTGCCTATTTTATCCCCTTATTTGTTGTACTGCAGAGCACTTGCAGAGTGGCCTCATTCACTTGATCAGGCCATGCTTGGAAGGTGCTACACCCACCATACATGACAGGGCGTATAACTCCTGCTGCAGCTGCGACGTGTACACACATGGCCACTGCAGCCAAAGGGTGTGGTAAAGGGGTGGTAAAAACACGTCTTAACTATTTGGTTATACCATCTTCAAACTGCAAATGTAAATGAACCCTTACTGTTCTGAGCCCCCTATAGGGCTGCTTAAACACTGATGTGCTGAAATTTACCTGCAACGTGAGAGCAGTGCAGTGCATCTGCAAATTTCCTGGGTTAGCTGCACTTTGTTATGCTTAGCCATAGACTTCTATTATATTCTGCAGGTGTGGCACACTTTCTGAAAGCGCACCAAAACTCTTGCATAGAAGAGTTTTGATGCGCTTTAAGAGTGCACCAAACCCGTAGGACATAATAGAAGTCTATGGCTAAGCATAACAAACCCGCAGGAAAGCTGCAGGTACACTGCACTGCACCCATGGTGTGGGTAAATTGCAACTTATCAGTATGAAAGCAGCTTTATACTATTATGCTCCGTGTATTGCTTCATACTGACCTGAAGATATCTTCTTTACTGCTGCTGGCCATTCTGGAGACTGCTAGCCGGGATAAAAGGTGAAGTGCAGTTTGGTATCACTCTGCATGAGACAGGAGCCAGCACTACAGAGGAGGCATCGTCTTTTGCTGCTCTTGCTCCCTACTACAGCTCCAACTTTACAAGCAGTCTCTCTGCATTGCACTCCGATGCCCTGGGATAGTGTGTCAGCAAGCCCAGACCGCAATCTATCAGTCACCTGGTAGTATTAGATCGTGATCTACAGGTTGCTGACCCCCGATATATAGCCTAGTGATATAACAGCTCTCTCATACCTTGCACAGATATGGATAAATGAAGTATGTTGTAGTTGTGATTGTGAGGTATTTCTTCTTTGGTCTGTGTCTTTTTCCTGCTCATCATGTGCATACAATGTGTGTGTGGAGAGACATATAATTTGTTTTCAGTGTACACTTAAATAATACTTTCTTCTCTTAGGTCCCTGGATCAATAATGAGATTGTTCAGAGTGTAGAAAGGGAGCTATATGACTTATTCAGTCAGATGATGGAGTGCTGTAGCTGTGAAGAATTTAACACAGTTCTACAATCTACACTTCAAGGACTAGAAGTCAGCAATCTGTGGGAAAACAACAATAAGGTTAACTTTTTTTTTGTATCCTTTTAAGTGTAAATGTAATGTCAATGTAATGTAAATCTTTCTATTTGCTTTATTTAGTGGCATTTAACACTTTTATGACCAGAGCACATTGAAGCCTAGATGGCCAGGCCAGCTTCAACATGCATAATTTACCTTGATAATAAAGTTACTGCTAATTTACATATTTAAATAATTTGAATGAATGTTAAGGCTCCATGCACACTAGCTTATTTTTAGGCTCCTAGCAGCTAGTTATGAGTGTTTTTTTTCCTGTCCCTAGAAGCAAATAGTGTTATGTGTCCATGCACACTATTGTAGAAGTGGTTTTTTAAGCTTCATCTTCTAGGAGTAGAAAATAAAGCACTTTTTTTTGTGCGTTTTTGGGAGCAGTTTGCCTGAAAAAAAAAAAACACGGAATGCTCCTAAACGCTACTAAAATGCACCTAACAGCTTTTTTCTATCTTTTTCTCCCATACATGTATTGTAAAAACGCTAACACTCCTGAAAGCTTCTAAAACTGCTAAGAAAATGATTTTACATCCTTTTTTTTTTTTTTATCCAGCTTTTTTCTAGCATCTTTTGATCTTAAAAAAAAAGCTAGTGTGCATAGAGCCTACAGGCTATATAGGGCTTTTATTTGGTGCAGTATTTCAATAAAATGGTACAAGTAAATAATTATATACATATTGCGGGTGGGAAGGTGTTAAACATTTGGGTTGAAAATCAGACGCAAATCATTTTTTTTTTTTCCTTAAGCTAGCAATACACTTGGCAATTTGGGAGCTTTTGTTCAAGTTTTCAACCATAATTATCTGTCACAAATGGTCAATAATTTTCCACTCCTTGATCAAAATTGCATTTGTTTCTGCTGTTCATTTGATAGAATTTATATAGTTGGCAAGGTTTAAAAAAAGACACCAGTCCATCCAGTTCAAACTGTGTGGGTGTGTGTATGTTTTTTTTTATTCTCTACCACTTCTCATGTCCCTCTCTGTTGTGTTTGCCAAGATACCCATCTAAAAGTTTTTTTTAAATTATCAACACTTCCCGCTGATACCACTGATTGTGGAAGGGAGTTCCACCGTTTTAACAGTTAAAAAAAAACAAAACAAGAAAAAATGTATGCAGTTTAAGGCTAAACCGCTTCTCATCCAACTTCAATGGGTGGCCACATGTCTTCTTGGGGGACCTGAGACTGAATAGTTTTCACTATAGTTTTAATTCTTTGGTTGTTAGAACCATGCATTCCACTGAATTCTGCATAAGGCACTTTCTGTGTACCTGACTAAGAGAAAGAGAGATGGGAATAAGGAATTTATAGATTCCCCTTACACAGAACCATTCTGGTTTAAGCCGCTTACAGCTGATGAAAAGTTTCCAGTGCCACATTCTGACAATACAAGATCCAGCCAAGTCTGCATTGTTACTGCATTTGTTCCCATTTGGGATGGATTTGCTAAACAGTGGACTACACCCACAATGGATCTGCCAGTGACCCATCTTAACAGGGAAACCACCAGGCCATTTGTTCATCCTCACATTCGAGCATACTACCAACCAACAGAGTAACGGTTCTAACTATTGGGCCCTGCCATTCGTCCTATTCTGGCTGAAGACATAATTTGTCAAACAATGGCAAAATGGTCTAAATCCTTCAAAAAAGATGACTCCTGTATGAGTCTGTTGTCCATAACAATCTGTAGAGCACTCCTCTGGTTAAAATGCGGGAATGTGATCGTCCACGGATCACCTGAATTGGTCTCTTTAGGCCTACCTTTGACATTAATATCAGGGATATCACTGGAGGCTAGATTGTTTACCTGCTTCAGCAGAAGTCTATGGCAAGGTCCACAGCTTTTTCCTTTTCATCCCCCTACTTCAAGAGTAGACATACTCAGGTTTTCCAAGCCTGGTTTCCCATTCCCCCTGAAGGTAGAGAGTAAGAAGCCTGCTAAAACCTCAGGGAAACTTAATTAGCATAAAGGTGTTCCCCAGTTTTTCTAAGTGAGGGGGCATTTGTTCCTTCCTTGTTGGACCTTGGGCTGTGTGATTTCAGGCATTTAGATACAGAGAATGCCCTTTCAGGATTACAGACTGAAACCTTGCCAACAGTGTTCTCTTCAGCCTGGCACCTTCTACCTTCCTGTGCCACCGCACACACTAAAAGACCTCTGTCCCCTTAAGGGTTTCCTGGACCTAAAGATACTTGTCCTAGCTCCTGTGCCAGTTCGATATTCGCTCTTTCTCAATCTGCATTTGCTTCTATCTAATAGAGACGACGCTTGGCTCTTTTGAGTCATATAAGTCCAATAGATTTATATGGTACCCATCAAATCTACTATCTCTGTTCCTTCCCAGAAGGACCATCTGACTTTTGTGTTCAGTCAGGATGCATATTCACTGAACATCATCCTCCCATAACGCCCATTAAGGAATGTTTAGAGGACCTCCTGTGGAGTAAACAGATGACATAGGCTCCAGTGGACAATGTGGTACTTGGGTCTCCAAGATTTGGCTGGATCTTGTATTGTCAGAAAGAAACGTTTCATCACCTGCAGGTAGGTTATACCAGAATGGTTAGGGGAATCTACAGAATGCTTGCTCTTATCTACCTTTCCCTTAGTCAGAGTTATAGCACCAAAACCCAGAATAAACTTTTTTAAATAGTCCGGTACAGGGGTGATCAACCTGCTCCTCTTAGGCATTTCATTTTGTTAGGAGCTTAATCATAGAGTGGTCAGGTCAGGGAACTGCTCATCTCTCAGGTGTAGCAGGAGAATTATGCATTGGAAAATCCTCACCTGCTGTACTCTAGTCTCTTCTCAGACCCTTCTGCTGTTGTGGATCAGGTTTATAAGCATAATGAAATGTCTGCCTTGAGGAACAGTTTTATCTTAATCATACAGTACAGGACACAGACAACTTGTTCATACACCATGAGATATAGGTTTGTACCTTCAGGTGATTGAACACTGGCAAGCTTTTAGGACACACCCTGAGCCACCTTTCCTATAACTCTATGCCACTCTGTGAATCCTCAGTTTTTTGCTAGTGTCTGAAGGTGATGGGCCTCTTCTCTTTTCTTTTTTTTTTGTATTCTTCAATCAACCCTCACTGTTTTGAAATGGCTGCACAGAAGCAGTGTATACAGATTGGTGCAACCTCGGTATAATCTTGGGAGCCGTACTCAGATCCCGTGCTGTGGGGATGGCCTGTAATTTTGCTCAGAACACTGTATCCTGGATGGGGCACTCACCTTGCAATGCGCTCAGGGTGCTATACAGATTCAGGGCTGTTGTCCATTGCGATGGAACCCAGTCTCTGAAGACTCATTTGTGGGCATGGCCACTGCTGAAGGATTTTAGGTACAGTCCAGCATCTTGGGCAAGTAAGACAGGATTACCCTGTATCCTGACTGTTACTGTGAAATTGGGGCTCTGTTTGGAATGTATCCACTTCACAGTACAGCTTTTTCAAACTTGGCATTGAAATTCAACCACTCAGAACTCAGTCTCGGGTGTTACATCACACTGTTGGTCACACACTTTAATTCCACCTAGAGCCCTTATAAGGTACATGGGCGCTTGCTCCTGCCCTTTCGCCATGAGGATTTAATTGCAGGATGGTCTACACCTGGGTTATCACATAGTCCTTCTGGACACGCTTACCCTATCTCCCACACTCTACATCATGAGTACCCCACGAGCTAAACCCCCCACTTGTAGCTATGGTAGAGACCAGTCAAAAGGGTGTCAATTAGGGATGCAGTAATATATCGAAATGTTTTGCCAGAAAATAGTGTTACCGGCATTTTTCCATTGGGAAAAAGGGTGCCGATAATGGTCACCAAAAACGCACAATTTTGCTGCGAATTTACCCACAATTTTGCTGCGATTTTACTACATTTAGGGTGCATTTTTCATAGGTCACGTGATTCAAATAACATATCAAAATGCAACACTTGTGCATTTTTGATGGGTTTTTAATGCATTTCAGGCCTGGTTCACACCAATGCAGTTTGTGTTTTGTCCATTTTGCAGTGTTTTGTGTTTTTGAACGCTGGTTTTTGACACTTTTTTGATGTGGTTTTTTTTTTGGATGTTTTTTTCTTTTTGGCTAACCTTTTGCTGGACAGATTAAAAACATACTACAACAACACATGTGCAGTTTTGTGTGTTTTTAAGGCCTGGTTCACAACAAGGCAGTTTGTGTTTTGTGTTTTTCCACGCACGTTTTTGACACTTTTTTTGATGCAGGTTTTTTTTTTTTTTTTCTCTTTCTTTTTGGCCAACTTGTTGCTGGACATTAATGCAAAACGCACTAACAACGCAACATGTGTGCGTATTGGTGCATTTTCAATGCATTTCAGGCCTGGTTCACACCAACACAGTTTGTGTTTTGTCCACTTTGCAGTGCTTTTTGCAGTATGTTTTGCTTTTTTACACACACATTTTTGACACTTTTTTGATGTGTTTTGCATTTTTGTTTGGGGAAGCCAACTTGTTGCTGGCAGATTAAAAACACAAAATGCATAAAAAACGTACTACATGAGTTTTCTGCAGCATCTCCATTGAAGTCTATTGAACCAAAAATGCAACATTTTGCTTTTAAAAAAGTCACTGACCCTTTCCAAAGATGCAGCAGCTCAAAAAGCATAGATGTGAACGCGCCCGAAGGAAACCATTTTAAATGGACTGCGAAAAGCCCTAAAAAATGCATTGGTGTGAACCAGGCTTCAACAGGGAGCTGCTTTTTTTGGTGCGCTTTTTTTTTTATTTTTAACTCGCCAAGTATGCACCAAAAATGCGGCAAGCAGGATTTGTAACACTTGAAAAGAAAGTGCAGCGTTACAACACATGCAAATTAATATTATCAATCCATAAAACCAGCTGAACAAATCATTATAAATACATTACTCCCAATATTCTAAAATAAATATAGAAAAATGGTGATAGTCTGTGACAGGTGATGGTTACAGGAGATGTTGGTGACTTTACGTT